AGGAATGCAAGGGACATTAAAACAGCTTTCTTGGTTTGTCCTTCTTTTGCCTTCAAGGTTTAGCAACTTCCCCAGTGGTTAGTGCAGCTCTCCAAGCAACTAATCCTGTATCTATAAACTGTAATGTCAAAGGATTAATGTGTGCCTGGGAACGCAGGTCAAATCTGCTTTAGATCACAAGAGTTTGAGTTCAGCTCCTAGCTGAAATATCACAAAACTACCATATAATTTAGTAGAAGTCTTGCATTCCTATACTTCAGCTGGTGGTTGCCCTTAATAAAAAGAGGCCCAGGACTGATTACTCTGAATGAATTTCTCTTTGTCTAAAATCAAAGTAGTATCAGCTGGAAAGTGGAGGGATTTCTTAAAATAGTTCTGTCTTTGATATAAATAGCACTTTCAAAGTCTACTTTTAAAATATTGTAGAAAATACAGTATGGCAAGTTACTGATGTTTCCTGAATTTCTTCTGTGTGCTACATTATAATGCCCGGAGCTCGAAAGCATCTGGTGCTGGCATGCCAGTTTTCACCTGCGTACCCTTGGATGCAGGGCATTTGCTTGACTCTATCTTGATAATAAAGACAATCATTTATAATTTCTAAAAAGAATTTATTAATCTAATTTAGACAATATGCTGAATAACATGTGCAGTAAGCAGCAACTGTAACTATCTCTTTTTCCTTTATGCTGAGTTGTCAACAAATCATAGCAATTTGCGCCTCACGATCCGCAAATGTGAAATCCGGCGTCTGTGTCTCTTGCTTAGTTTTATCGGTCCTTGCAGGATCCGAGGAATGCGGTGACATTCCTGCACACTGCCCTCTGGTGGGATCCCCAGCTCCGAGCCGCGCGCCGTGCTGGGCATCCCTTTCCCAAGCTGGTGCCGGACTCGTAGAGCGCAGCGTTTTGTTACCAGCTTCCTACCACCTCCCTCTTTTAAAAAAATAAAGTAACTGCTCTTGTGACCTCGCAGGTTCTTCGCTCGGTGCTGCTCTTCCCAACCATCGAGCGTATGGCCCAGTCACCCCAAGGAAAGCTCATGACGCCCTTGCTCTGCAAGCTCCGCTACGTTCTCTACATGCCCGTCTACCTGCTGTCCTTCCTGCCCGAGGGAGTCAAAGCTTCCCTGGTGCGGTTTGCCCTACGAGGAATGAAGACCTATGACGAGTCCTCCATAACGACCTCCATAAATCTCTTCAGCGTGGACTGCATTGGTGAGAGCTTTTTATTATTATTGTTATTAGGCCAACTTTAGTATTTTTCATTTGCTAAATGTTGATGTGCTTTTGTTGATGGAATCTTAATACTAAAGCATGGATGCATTCCTAAGGAGAACAGGTTTAGTGTTTTCTCAAACTAAGACAATATACACAAGACAAGGTAAAATCAATCAGTCTCTTAAAAAAAAAATCTTAGTGGGAAAATAACAGCCGAAATATTTTTTCCAAAGAATATATATTTGTTAACAAAACTCTGACCTGTACTACTAATGGTGACTCATATGATTAAAACAGTGCTTTACAGTCTAGTTTGTGTCACTTAGGTTTGTTTACTTTTTGCATTTCAATCATATTGGATAATGGAAATACATCAGTTGTTAGTTTCACAGAGCATTCTTCACATCTTTGCTAGTTTTCTTTGTTTCTGTGATTCAGCTAGCCGCGTAGATTTCATAAGACTGGAATGGAATTTGAATATTGATGCATTTTGAAAAGGGCCAGCTGCCTACAGAGGCAATTCCTCTGTTCCTTTATGCACAGAAGAATCTTCAGTAGCTCTTTAGGCATACGAAGAAAAGCAGAAGATTGAAGTTCTTCCAGTGCTAAGGCATACTGTATGCTTATTTTGCATGTGCTAGCAACAGAAGCAGCTGTAAGAGAGGGAATTATTTCAGATAAATTTTACTAGATTTAAAAGGAGAACCAGAAGAGGCATTTTGCCTCTAGGATTTGACTAAGTTAGCAGTCAAAAACAGTGTGGGATACAAAATTGACATGCTAGCACAGTAGCATTGACATGCTAGCACAGTAATAACAACAAGAAGGAAGTCTCGATTGCACTAAAAGTAATAAAAACACATTCCTGGATTTCCAGTTGTGTTCTCTCTTCTCTCAGTTAATTCTACCTGCCCATCATCCAGGCAGATGTGCCACAGTAGACTGCAGCGAGTTCCTTCAGCTTCAGGAGATATCTGTGAATATGTTGGCCCAGAGAGCAGACTCATTTGTAAGACTGCAGAGGCTGTAGGCAGGATAGGCAGTGAGTGTTTATACTGTCAGACCTAGACAGCGCTTCGTATATTGTACACACTCACCATAATACTAGTGTTTTCATTGCAGTATTCTGTACGCAGACAAAATCATGTTCCTGGTTGATAGTTTAAACATCTAATACAAATCATGTTGTCTGCTGCTTGAGTTTCTATTGATTTATTGTAGTTTTCGGATACTGTGTACTACTTTCTTCTTACTGGGGAGAAAAAAGCCATACTTTGACAATTTAATCTTGAAGAAGGCTGTGTGAAGATCTCTAAGGTCATGTCTGTACAACCCAAGAATCCTGCTTTGGTCCACACAGATAAGCTCTTCTCAAAACAGGTTAACCACGTCCTGGCCTGTACTGGAAGTGGTCTTCAGCCTGTATCACAAGAATACTTCAGCACATGGATTGCGTGTTCGCAGGGCTTCAACCTGTTCTTGTAGTCCCCTTGTGTGGATACATCTTTCTGGCCTGTGTGTCAGCCTGTTGTAATTTTCTCTGTATGCCAGTGTCTGTTCTGTGGCCAAGATGTTAACTAAACTGAAGCAAGAAACCAGGCTGTAGCATCTTGTATGATGTGATCTCTGTCTACATTCAGTTTATTGACTGAATTCATTATACAAGAATGAAAATCTCCATGAGTCTGTCTTGTAAAACTTTCATCAGTAGGGCTTACTGGTTCCTCTGGGCTTGTAATACCATCTGTCTTGAGCAGAATTCTTCTTCGGTTTCATCTTTGGAAACTGGTGATATTTTACAGCCTCAGTGACTCAGGACCACATGCATGGATTAATAATCTTACAGCTTTCCGGATATTGCCTGTTAACCTTCTCTTCTATTCTTTGTAGACAATAGAATATGCAACCATTCAGCAAAAATTTCTAAATCTAGCACAGCAACAGAGGCTGTTTTATTGAACTGCTCATCTGTGAGTTAGAGGAGCCTCGGCTTTTGTGGTAAATGTCATTCTGGTGGAGTTCTTGTCCTATAATAAACTGCTAGCTATGGATCAGAAATGTTGAGCAAATGAAGTTGTTCCTCCTCTCCAGGAAGGTTGCATGTCAACCCATTAAAAATACACGTATTGCCTTTGGCATGTACATCTGTTGCATTGCTGTAATTGTAATAAAAGCTGTGATTAAGGGCAGAAAGGATGGTAAAAGTTTCCTTAAAACTAACACGTCCGTTAAAACAGACCAACCTGCCAGGGATTTGTTACCACATCCAAAGCTTAGTCACAACAATATGTTTTTTCTCCATTGAAAGGAAATGAGATTTGAAAACTTAATTATAATGGGTCTGTAAGACCTAGTGCTACTCCCATTGAAATCAAAAAGCTGCACTCAGTGGGAGCAGAATCAGGCCTTTAATGAGGAGAGTCAGTCAGAGAGGTTAGTGTGCTGTGCTGGAAGAGTTATACTACTTCTCTGTCCCACTTCAAATTTTGTTTGTTCCTGCTAATTACCCAAGGTAATTCTTCCATTGTCCTAACATTATAACTGCTGCTTGGTGGGAGCCCCAGTCAAGCAGCAGAACCTGTTGTGGTGACATTGTCCTAAAAGGTCACAATATGAAATCCTGCCCCTGAGGGGAAGTAATACAGAGGCCTGAAGAGAAACAGCAAGGACTAAAGAAAACAGAGCATATGGAAGATCAGGAATCGCAAGAAGACTTTCTTTTTTTGAAAGAAGTGGGGGGTGATCTGGAGAGGATTTCATTAGCTGGTTTGACTTATAGCAAAAGTATTACAGATAGCAAACTGGTATTTGGATACTCATACTCATGAACCTATGAGGTGAATAGGTAGCCAAATGAGACATTGGTGACCTTGGATTGTCTAAACCACAGTCATTCTGTTTATTCAGGCCATCGAGAAAAAGATATTTGCATCTAGTACAATAATGGTTATCGTAAAAATTGTGTATATTTCATCAATAGGTGAATACTTTGGCACTCCAGCATGTTGAAATCTGTAAACATTTCTTCAATGACCGATGCCAGGAGCAACCTTGCAGTGACAGTAAACCATTCCATCTACATGGAACAGGATTTATTGTCCACCAATTTGACTGGCAAACTTCCTCCATTTGTTTCTGTAAAATTTCCACAAAAGCACAGACATGACATAATAGTTAAACACCGCAAGGCTTTTTCGAGAGGCGGGCTCATAGGTCAGAGGTTAACGTCTGGATGACAGTGAAGATACAGATAAGCACAATAGCAAGAAAAACCTCCAACTGGCCCAACTGCGGCCGTCCTTTGTGGTCTTGAACCTGTGACTTCCCTTGAGGAATCTCCCTGTTTGTTTAACCTCTTCACAGAGCAGGGGACTGCTGAGGTCTTGGGGGGCCAGAGGAGGTCTGTACTGCGGAATGTAGACAGGTTGGGAAGGGGAGAAGGCAAAAACTGGACTTTAAAACATCACACAGATGAAAACTAGAGACAGTAGACTTCCTTTATATTTTAAGAGTCCAAGAGATGTTATAAGAAAACAAGGACATAAGCCTGAACTTCAGAACTTGGATTCAAATTTTATCTTGTTCTTATTGTGAAGGCATTTCCATGTTTAGATTTCACTCATTTTGCACAAAAATGGTATTAAGACTATTTTAGACATTCTACTGTGCTGCTTAAATTAGTAGTTGTATACAGTCCACAACACTGCATAGGACAAGATAAATTCCCAAATGAGGTATTGAGGATTGTTTTCCAGCTGTAGCTGCCTCTCTCCATTGGCTGTATGTGATGTCAGACTTAATGCCTGAAGTGACAAAGAGAAATAGCTTCATCATAGGAAAAAAAAAATCAGAAGTATAAAATAGCATTTGGGAAACTATCGTATTAACAGTTGCTGAAACTTATTCTTCAGTGTCTGCTGCCCACTTTGAAGATGGCCCATAAAGTTTTGTGTTACCTAAGTTGTTTTAAAATTTTATCTCCAGGGAGAAAGCTGAAAAATTTCATCTATATTTGAATTTTCCCAGCCTTGGGAGTTGTCATGTCCTGAGATGTCTTTCTGTTCCAGTTCTCTCTTCTTGAACAAAGAGATATTAAATATGACATGATGGGTGGTCTTCATCTGACCACATGCAGACATCGTACTATCCAAATTGTTGGCATCTAAAGCAGGTCAGATGAATCACACTCTGCAGATGACTCTGTCTCTCTCCTGACCACAAAGGGAGACTATCTTTACTAGATATCTAAAATTAGTGGAGTTAAATCCCACTCTGTTTATCTGCTGGCAGCCCATTCTGCTGCAGACATCAGAAAGCAATTTGAACCTGAATTGTCCATGCAGTCTTGTTGCTTGCTGCTAGAACAGACAGAATATCCTGTACTTGGAGTGGATTACAATTTACAACTGCTGGTTTCTATAGATTTGCCTGTCTCTTGTTTCCTATTTATTTGAAAATTCATTGCACATCTCCCCTTCTGTTTCCTGATGAGGAAAATGGGAAATTGGGAGGAATTCCTTTTTGGGACTAACACGCTGTAGACATAACCATCTATCTAAAATGCTCAGATTAGGACAGTGCACAGTGCTGTTTCCAAGGCAGCCAAGAGCTGCCCCTCATGTTTGACTGATATTTTTCGAACTTTAATTTTTCTTTTAAATATTAAATAAGAAATTCATAAAGAAATCTATCTGAAATGCTGAAGTAAGTGTGCTTTGACCTCCTGAAGAATACTTTAGGAAGCTGTATAACCACATAGCTAAAATTTAGTTTACTTTTGTTTAATTAAAATGGTGTTCCTTTCTTTCACTGAAATTAAAATCTAGCTCCAAAAGGTAGGCTATGAAGAGCATCTCTAATTTCAGCACAGAAGATAAAGCTCTTTCCGTATTAGTTGCATGGAAGTGAAGCCCTCCACTAATGCAAATCAGGTTAAAGAGACACTGCACATTATATTATGATGATATATTTTCAAAGTGATCAAGGAACAGTGTTTT